ATAGTTTTCAAAATGAGATTTTGATTCTACAGTTTTACCATTAGCGGATTGTTTACATTTGCAATGCTTAGTTTCTGTTTGCATTTAATTACTATTTTGAAACGACCTTTCTCTTGAGTTTAAGTTTTTTTTTTAAATAATTGAGTTTTACCGGGATGTTCCAGCTAAGTAATCTAGGAGCTAAACCCATTAAAAAAGCTAACGAATGGACCCTAAAAATGTACGGTTCATCACAGCTTCGAATCCAAAACAACATTGCCAAAACACATACGGCATTAATCTATGGTTCTGGTAAGTGGTAAATGATAACGTTTAAAATACATGTTATGCATTTCAATAGAGTGTTTTAAACAAAAGAGAGGGACTAAACTTATACTAAACGTCTCTAAACATTTTTAATTTCACTATGTTTTTTGTTTAAGTAAACAAATAGTAATCTTGTATTTGGTTGTCTATTGTCCTGTTTGTATAGAGTTTTGGCCTTTATGTGTAAAGTGTCCTACTTTATGTTGAACAGTACCTAATGTTTTTTTTTGGGGGGGCAAATGTTCTAAATGAATAAACAAATAAGTTTGAAGCTTATCTTATTTAATATTTAATCTATTTATTGGTGCGTGTACCTTTTATTATTAGGATAAGGACGTGACAAACGTATTAAACGTTGCGTACCTATTTTTTTATATGCTTAATGTAACAACCAATGTAGCTGTAACCACTATCCCTGATAACCGTGACATTATAACATTATTAAAAAAATGTTTTGTATGCTACCCTCAAATGTTTATAAGTAAAGAGTTGAATTACAGAAATGTTTTTTTTTTGCAAAGGAGTTGTGGCCGATCAACGTTTGAAGTACCTAATCTCTCTTTGAAAATTTGACGTGTTTAAATAATTTTGTCAATATTTATACAAAACGTGCAAGTTTTATGTAACTTGTATAATTAGTTTGTTTTACAGCTACTGTCTATTCATGACGTGTTTACGATGGTTTATAATTGAAGCGGCAAATGCACAAAAGCAGTCTATATAGTGTATATTAAATTATACGTGACTTCCTATAATCCTATATATATTATTATCTTTTCGCCGCCGGTCCTTTACTCGCTTATAAAACGCCTTTATTTGTTTTTAATACGTCCCATAAAGACATTTTACTGGATATATTATACATATATATTTTAATAAAATTCTATAACGGCTGAGTTAATTTACGGTGTATTTAGGTTAGATGTTATAATTAAATAGCGGTAGGTATTCGATATTGAAAAGAGTCAAAAGGTTCGTTAAAAAACAATCGTGTCATCAAGACTTTATCTTAAGGCCCTCTATCTTTTGTCGAAACATAGCTGTTCGACTGAGTTCATCCACATCACCTCCTCCGCCTCCTTTTTAATTAATGTAAAACTTTTTAACTGTTTTCAGTGTATTATAGATGTATCTTTTTTGCACACATAATTACATACATACAAACTGCGTTATATAATTGGAATCGTACATCATATACTAACTATTATTATTGCCGTTCTCTTTTCCACCATAATAATAATATAAGATACTCACAACGTGTATTTAATTTAACGCGAATTACAATCGAGGGCCTAATAAGAGTTTGTTTTTTGCTTTACCGCCAACCCATTTGTGAGTTTTCCCAATTGTGTAACAACAATACGAGATGCACACACACACACACACACACACACCATATGATATGTAATAATAATCATCATCGTATTATTATTATTATTGTATTCTTCGTTCATTTTCCGTTCTGATCCGATGGCGTCTCTAATCACTCGTTTTAATTCCTTACCTGTCCTTACCTGTCCCTTACTTGTCCCCGAAGAAGCTAAAATGCATCCTAAATAATTAAAATTAAAAACAATCGCACTATTTATGACTCAACATATGCAGTAATTTCGGTGTTGGTGAATTGCGGCCCAATCCCTAAATCAAGTACGAGTTGCGGCCCAGGTTTATTAGAGGGACGTATGAGTTGCGGCCCGGGTTTAGGAGAGAGACGTATGACGTAGTTGCGGCCACATAATAATTACCACTTTATGTTAGCCTATTAGCGTTACTCAGAAGACACCACGGGGAGGTTGGCTGAATTATCTCCCAAAAATTTGTTTTTTGGTCAAGTTTCGTCATGTTATTTGTCGATGAGCAATTCCGTCGTTGTCATTTTAGTTATTTTATATTATTGAGTTGACAAAAATTCATCTGTCCTAACTTTGACACTATAATAACTTCAAAAGCAACGAGATCACATAATATAAAAACAATGCGAAAATTAAAATTAAAAAATTAATTAAAACCTATAGGCTATAAGATATTGAGTGGATCTCTTTAAAAAAATCGTCCTGTATAACTAAATTGGCGATAAAAGTTTCAAGATAAAAAAGGTTGTACGGGCCACAACTCATACATCTATCAAAAACTGCTGGGCCGCAACTCATACGTCCTTTGAAAACTGCCGGGCCGCAATTCACCGGTCTCCGACATCGTAAACAACACCTCGGGCCGCAACTCACCTACAGCCAGTAATTTATACCAGAGACCTTCTAATGTAAGTAAAAATTGTTCAGTTCCAATGCGTTCGCTCCTATATAATCCTATAAAAATATAGGATTATATTAGGATTATATAGGAAATATATTATTGGTACAAATTCGTATACTCTGAGGATAGAATGCTAAAAAACACGACCCTCTCCCCATTATCTAACCCATTGAAGGGCGCACATAAAATTAAAAAAAAAAAAATTTAGTGTGAAACCAAAAAGAGGAGTGCACGAGTCAGGCGTTTTTGTTTCTGCGCAGACATGGCATCTCGTGAAACATATTATTATAAACAACAGCTTTCAAAAACTCTACTCATAAAACTCAACAAATATTTTGAACAAAATAAACCTAGTTATTCTCTTCGCTCCACAGAAAAATATTCAATCATGGATATGTTATCTGTTATCACTTATATTTTGTCTCTTATGTGTAACCTTTTATCACTAATATCTTATCACATCTCTAGTTTCTTATCACTCATATCTTATTACTTATCACTTAACTCTAACTGAAAGTGTAACGCGAAAATGGCGGCATTAAATATTTTCTTGTATCCAGACCGAAAACATAATATTCATATATTCATGTTATACATAGCATATTATAGCTTTTATACAAAAAATTGTTACAGTAGACTATTAATTGGAAACTTAACACTTTTAAACTAAATTAAACTTAAACTAGTTTGTAAAAAAGTAGCTTGTTACTTTTATGCCCTCACCCCCTCCCCCGCTGGTGGCAATAAGAAATTAGTAATGCTTCTAGTACTCTAACTTGGTTCTATAATTTTTTTTTTGCGAACTGGGAATGTGTGAAAAATGATTACTTCTCTTCCAACCTGTCAACAATAGTCACAATAAAAATACTGATTATAGCCGTCAAAACGCAGAGGGTGGAAAATTCAACTTGATCCCGAAGGTGCGCCGTACGAGAGTAAAGCACAGGTAGCGCTATTCACACAGACACGTGAAAAAGGTGGTGAAAGGTATGAAGTATTTTTTCTTTATACTTGATGAATAATATATTCATAAAGAATATTGTATTTTATAGCTTTTATGTACCCCTATACACCGGAAGGACGACGGCAATGTTTCCTTCCCCCAAAAAAATCAACATCAACTACTTCCAAGAAGCTATAATAATAATATACTTATATTATTCAGAGAAATAAAATATAAATAAGTATAAGGAAAGTTTTCGGAAGCAGCGAATTTCGTTACACTAGTTTGTCGAATATTACAATAGATATTTTCTTGCAACAGCGAATTTGACAAGTACATTGCCACCGGTAATTTGTATTTCGATAAACATGTATTACAATAGTTGACAGCTGTTCTAAGAAACCTTTAGAATGCAAGCTTTCCACGCAGTACCGTTGCTTTATATAAAATCAAATTGCGCGGGTAACTAATTTAAAAAATAATATTAAATCTTCAATTTCTGACTGTATATTTTTATATTATAATAAGTATGAAAACATGTCATGTACTTAATACTTGAATCATAAGTGTATAAAAGTTGATTATATTTTTTGGTTCAATAAGACCATATGCATTTTTATAAATCAAATTTCGTTGGCAGAATTATATTGTATCGTTTAATGAACGTTTTATGATTTTTATTTTATGTCTAGTAAAAATAAATTGAGTTGCGAGCATACTCGTAAACATGTTATTATTTATTATAATTGTATAAAAACATATTTTTGCCAAACATTTTTTTAATTTAAACACTTTTTTTTATTTCATTTTAACCTTAAATTGTATGTGTTTATTATGTTTGTTTGATTCAATATTCCGTTCAATAAGATAATTTTCTTCGACTGCTTATGGCTTTTAAGTTTTAAATTAATTTAAGTATAAAATACAATTCTAAATCAAATACAAATATTTGTATGTATTTAATATTTATATGTAAATTTCCAAGTTATTCCTTATTTTTAATAAAAAAAAACCTGAGCGTAAGAATTTCATATTACCAACTTTACATGTAGACCGTAGAGGTATGTGCTGAAATTACAAGAAAAGGTGAGCGAGAGAAATAAATATGTAATCAGCTCGGCGAGTATGTATCTGAAATTAACACACACGAATGAAGTTAAATGAAATCGTAAAAGAAAACCCCCTTTATTTTTTTGAAATACACAGCCCATATATATATATTTTATACATTTTTTTTCCGTGATTATAATATATATATAATGTGTTATTTTATTTTATGTATGACCTATCACCTAGCCTAATTACAGCTCTGCTGTAATAATGCAAAAATACAAATAAAAACGTCTATTAACTATTGTACGATAGGGTTAGTTGAAAAAATATAGAAAGCTTCTAATTTTAAAAAAAACTTTCAATTATAATATTATATTATGTAAACATACCAATCGAAAGTCATTACCATTTTTCATTTTTAGTACTAATATGTTCTTAAACCTACCTCTAACGGGTTTCTGAAGTATTGCCGCAGTGTTGTTGGCCTAAGTAAATTGTAGAAACAACCGAGTTTCAAAGTAACTTGAGCTAAGATGGTTCAGCGGTGTAGCATTGCATACTGCAGATAGGTATATATACAGTCACCCACTAGTTCTATTTACATCTATGTTAAGTTAGATTAAGGTACATAGATGTACATTGTAATAACACACTAGTATGACACATAATAATACTTGTAAAATGTAATAGGCTGTTCTCGTCGATTCGACATAAAGCTTTGATCATTATTGCCATTATTGCGACCAACGTGTGTGTGATTATTCGAGTGTGAATTTAACGGTTATAAAAAGTTTGTTTTATCGCTCCTGGGGACGGCAATATGTATATTTTTTATTTTCACATTCGGAATATAGCAAACGTCATGTGCCGGCATTTCTGGAATTGAATCGGCCCCCGCCGACATCAAAAGTGTCTGGCAATGATTTGCCACCGCTTGCAACGGTGAATCTTTTACCAAAGGGGATAACTATGCAGGTCCATAATTTAATAAATTCGTAGCATAAACTCTTTTTTATATATATTTTCCGATCACTTTTTGATCCCAGGCTTAACAAATATTTAAATAATTCAATAACAACGATATGGTCAATGATGACTGAAAAAATAAATAACCACAACTCTACTAATATATACATGGGTTAAAACGAAAAATTATCTTATTTTTACACATAATTATTTCAACTATTTCAATTACTGTGGTCGGTTTTCTCCGTTTTTTTCGACTTTACTATGAAATTTCACCTCTTTTTTTGTTTTGTTTTTCTGAGCGTTTTTACGGGGAATTCAATTTTAAATTTACACATTATATGCAAAATTATCTCAGCTTTTTGAAAAAAATATTGGTAAAAATCTCAAATTTTGGGCATCACAAAAAAGCCAATTGTTTAGGTTATAAACTCAATTTTAATGACTTTCTGTTACTCGAAAAAAATCAACATTTTTTTTCAGAAAGTTAAGATCATTTTACATAAGAAACTAAATGTTAATCTTTTTTATGGCCGAAGATACTAGTTTTCTAAATGTCAATATTAGATTTAAAGATTTATTATTTAAAAAAAAAAACATAAAACTTACAAAATAATTTGTACTAATAACTAATATTAGTATTCTAAAAATCTGAAAGCTATACTTTCTAATTATAGTACAATTAAAAGAATTTAATTTTTAAGTTTTCCTATTATCAATTTATTTTTTAAACAAACCATAATGTACTGATGCCTATATTTTAGCTATTTATTTTTTTATACAACGTTTTCAATACTTACTTTTAAGTAAGTGTTGAATAATACTTTTATTATGATTTATGATTGTTTAGTGATAATTACTTATTTGGTAGTAAATGCTAAGTTTAAAATAGCAGCACAGCAATATAGCTAAACTGCTTAACTACTTAACAGAAATAGTTGTTTTCGAAGTAAGTCCTCTAGGTAGACAATTACTCTTCTTTTTTTTCAATAAATTACTTTTTATGATAATAAAACTAAGGGTTTATTAATAGCCTAAATTGTAACCCCAGATACACGAATAAATTACTAACATACTATAATATAATATAACACATATTTACATAACTATTATTTATATTAATACATAAAAGTAATAATTACTAAATAAATATTACTTTATATAATGTCAAGCATTCGCTGTTTATTTATTACGTAATAAATAATATCCAAATTCTAAAGTAAGTCATCCATCTTAACATAAAGGCGACATAAAATTTAAGACTGTTTGAAAATAATAAACATCACTAAACAGAATTCTTAGAGAAATTGAGTTTATTTTTAAATTTAATTTTGAAGAATATAAACTTTTTGCGTGAAAAATAGCCATTTTTTAAAAATTGGCAGTGCAAGTTAAACCACAATATAATAACGAAAAATCCATTAACAAAATGTTGGAGCTGGTGAGAGGGTGTTAGGCACGATCATATTGTTTTATAATGACTTCATCGTGTCCCTGTTCAACACTTTTTTAATGTCAATATCATGAAATATAACACTGAATACAAATAGCACCTAATCACAATATTATACTTTAATGCGTAAACCATAATGTAAAACGTGTATAATATTATTCTTTTAAAAACTTTAGAAATTAACTAAAAAAATATAGAATAAAACAATGTTTAAATGTTTTTTATGTTTTTTTTTCAAATCTTATACACATACTTGAATTTTATATCATACAGATTTGTTTTAACTTTAAAATACAAATTTTCAAAGAATCTATTTTATGTACAATAATGTACTACTTAAACCTAACATAAATTAACGAATGTCTTCCCAAGCAATTAATAAAGTAGTGGTTTAATAGTTTTAAATATCGCGTACATCATTTAACAACTAGTAACCTTATAGGAAATGTATACCTACGCGATCGTTAAACAATACATTGTTGGTGGAAGTAATTTATAACACATCATTTGTACAGGCCATCTGTACAGCTAAGTCTTTTGTTTATACTTAAATATAATCGACAAACATATATTTCAACAGGTATATTCATTGAAGTGTATATATCGTGGCTATATTATTTAAAAGATATTTGAATAAGTCTTCTTCTTCTTCTTCGCCTTACACCCCTACTACATGGGGTCGGTCACCCTTCCTACACCTCTATAGAGCTCAGTCTTCTACATCTCGTTCAAATACCCCAGCTATCCTCATATCACTCTCTATTCCGTCCATTCATCTTTTCTTTGGTCTTCCTCTTCCTCTTTTTCCCTTTACATGCATCTTCATAACACCTCTTACTGCCTCTGCCTCATCTCTTCTCATAACATGACCGAACCATCTCAGCCTATTCTCTCTCATTTTCTCCACAATTGACGCAACTCCTAGACTCTCCCTTATGAATAAGCATTGAAACAATATAAAAATATTCTTATCGTGTATTTTATAGGTCATTATAATAAAATATCTATGCGACTTACATTGTCTAACACGGAGAACGCAATACTGATCTAAAAAAGCCATTAATTATCATAAAAAGAAATAAATTCAAAATGTGATTCACCTGGTTACGGCAATAAAATACACGGTCAAATTTTGACGGTGTTTTATCTCTTTCATTTATCAGTTTTTCGTTGCCATCCGAAATGAAATTTTTGGGGTGAAAAATCCCAAACAAATATTTGATATCACGCCGGTTAATTGCTAACATCAGTAAAAACGGTCCGTGGCATTAATTAAACGCTAAATCTCAGTAAGGTGTAACAATAATGATAACATATCGGTGTGTACGCTAGGACTTATAAATATAATATGTTAGCTTATGGTCTGTTGAACGCGTGAAACGTGTGTTGAAAACCGCACCGCCTTCGGATTAATCGCGATAAAAAAAAAATAGTGTAAGATCGACGCAAATAATTATGAAACGTATTTAATTTATCATAAAAAAAAAATGGTTCAACAATTGTCTACAGCTGCTAATATTATAATATTGTCATCCACAATAAGTACGTGTATTAAAAATAAATGAAGCTCGCGCCGCTTCGGTTAAGTACCCCAGTGAAAAGTTTATCGACGTTTGTCCGTTAGTAACTATTAAACAGCCTCGTCGTCGGACCATACTTATATTATTATGCAGTGTATAATATTGTGTACAATTATGGGAATGATTATAGAATGATGAAATAACAATAAGCTCCAATAGGCATATACGGCTAACAGACGATTGTAAACTATACAATACAGCTGTGTTGTAGTCTATAAGTATATTTTTTATCAAAAAATTAACAAAATTGACCAACGCGATAAAAATCACTGTAAGGATACAAATAAATGTACGTATAAATGTTATAATAATATGTTATGACAATAAATGTTATGTAATATCATACTCGAAAAAAGTATTAGTTAATTTCGACGAGTTGAATTCCAATAAGAGATGTTAGACTTTTGTGATCAAACAATTTTTCCTTTAGGCTATGAAATAATGATTTTAGCAACAAAAAAAAAGTCCACGCAATATGTTTGTTATGAACAAACGATCAATGGTTTATTAAAAGGTAATTTTATTAAATTCAAATAACCTGCATATTTGTTTTAGCGACTAGAGAGAGAATAATGTAATAAAAATACGTGCAATTTTATGTGAAAAGGAATTCGTGTTAAACAAATTGAGCAAACATTAAACCGAATAATATTTCATATGTGTACGCCAAAAATGTATAAAACTCCAAAATGAAAACTCGTACTTATCTTCTTCGAAGTATACGAACTAATATGAAAATATTTTGAAGATAAATTACAAACGACACGTATTTTCATTTTTTTCCTGTGTACCAAATGCAAGTATAATATACGCAACCTAGTTTTAATATAATATTATTATATGATTATTATTTCATTTTTATGAATTATTTATGCAGAATGTGTCTTATTGAGTTTACATATGTAACATAATAAAAATTAATTTAGCAGGAATTCAACATATTTAAAAATAAACACACCTATATCCCGGGAAAAGACACAATAATCACATTTTCGCTAATGTATATTATTGTCTACTGTTAGTTGAATATTTAATATAAGCAACCAAATATTAGTCGGTATAGCGTGAGTTTCACTGAACAAATAATAAATGTCTATTCTTATTAATAGCAATATAGGCTAGATTGTATACTGACTTAGGCATAGGAAGAAAGTGTAGCTGTTGATGATCGTTAACTGAATAAATACTTCCCGGTTCGACGATAAAGTTTAGCATGGCATTAATAAAGCGAGAGATAACTTTTTCACATCCGATAAGAAATATATTTTTGAACTTTAAAAGTTATGTTATAAAGTAGCAATCCAAAATTTTGGCAATGATATTACTCGACGATTTCGTATTCCGGAACACCGGCAAGCCCGTGAGAACACATAAACATTCTTGATTTACAGCAAACACAATTAGGGAAGGCCAAAACTGGCCGGCTGTTTTCCATTTACAAAATCCGCCCTTTAAAATGATATTACAGTCGAAATTCGAAATTTTGTCCGTTTTTAATAAATTAGTTATTGTCGTCACAACTCAATACGCGCATTTACATGTTGATGTGGCTGTTTATAAAAAAAAAAAATAATAAATAAACAGGATACCCTCGAACAACAACACTCTTACTCTGTACAACAGATGCACATTAAAACGTCTGTGATAATAAATTATTATTGTGTGGTTAGGATGCGATGAGTTTGCATAAGGGTTTTTAAACA